TCCTCTTCCCCACCGGCCCGCAGTGTCCTCTCCCCCACCGGGCCGCAGTGTCCTCTCCCCCACCGGGCCGCAGTGTCCTCTTCCCCACCGGCCCGCAGTGTCCTCTTCCCCACCGGGCCGCAGTGTCCTCTTCCCCACCGGCCTGCAGTGTCCTCTCCCCCACCGGCCCGCAGTGTCCTCTTCCCCTTCATATGTCTTTCTACAGAAGTTATAATGAAACGACTTACCCAAGAAAAGAATAGTCTGCTTCCTCGCTGATTGGGCCTCCGCGCTGTTTGTTTTGGTCATTTGATTGGTGGTGGTGGTTCCGGGCGGACCCTTCACTGTGACGGTTCCTTTCTTGGCCACCATCAGAGTCACCATCATCTTCCGGCACATAAAAGCCACAGAGGTGAGGACCACAATGTAGACCACGAAGGCGGTGAAGATGCTGGCCTGGAACGCCGTCCACTTGGAATGAAGGTTGCTGCAAAGCGTGACGTTGGCGGTCAGATGGTAAGAGGCGGAGACGTTACACTGAGAACGCCGGCCCGACACCGGCCTCAGCGGGTACTCTGCCCCCATGGCAAATATCAATGGTAATGCCACGCAGACCGAGGTCAGCCAAGCAAAGCAAATCATCAGCTTGACAGCCCGGGTGCCGGAAACCAGCTTGAAGCGGAAAGGGTGGCAGATGGCCAGGTACCTCTCGAAGCTTAGTGTAGCCACGTGGAAGATGGTGGCGTAGCTGCACGCCTCAAACATGAAGGAATAAATCTTACAGGTCACATTCCCGTAGGTGGAGGAAAAGGGAAACCAGATGACGGAATAGAGCTCCACCGGCATTCCCAGGAGAATGACCAGCAGGTCCGAACAGGCCAGACTGATCATGTGATCGGTGACTCCTTTCTGCAGGTAGCCTTTGTCCCTCAGAACCTTGGTGGTCCGGATTGTGGCGCTGTTCCCAATGATCCCGGCAAGCAGAATAATTCCATACAGGACGGTGAGGGAGATCTTCACAGCCAGCCGTACCTCAAAATCTGGAACATGCGAGTGATCGATCAGATCGGCACAGGGATTCTCATCCATCGCATAGCTTTTCCGGGCCCCTGTAGATGAACTTTGTCACAGTGGCCCCTGTAGATGATCTTTGTCGCAGCTCACAGTGGCCCCTGTAGATGATCTTTGTCGCAGCTCACAGTGGCCCCTGTAGATGATCTTTGTCGCAGCGGCCCCTGTAGATGATCTTTGTCGCAGCGGCCCCTGTAGATGAACTTTGTCACAGTGGCCCCTGTAGATGAACTTTGTCACAGCTCACAGTGGCCCCTGTAGATGATCTTTGTCACAGCTCACAGTGGCCCCTGTAGATGATCTTTGCCGCAGCTCACAGTGGCCCCTGTAGATGATCTTTGCCGCAGCTCACAGTGGCCCCTGTAGATGATCTTTGTTGCAGCGGCCCCTGTAGATCCCCCCACAGAGGACCATTCTGATCCATAGAAGTTCCCTGGGCCTGAGTGAGGAGTGCTGCGAATGATTCTTGTCGCAGCGGCCCCTGTAGATGAACTTTGTCACAGTGGCCCCTGTAGATGAACTTTGTCACAGCTCACAGTGGCCCCTGTAGATGATCTTTGTCACAGCTCACAGTGGCCCCTGTAGATGATCTTTGCCGCAGCTCACAGTGGCCCCTGTAGATGATCTTTGCCGCAGCTCACAGTGGCCCCTGTAGATGATCTTTGTTGCAGCGGCCCCTGTAGATCCCCCCACAGAGGACCATTCTGATCCATAGAAGTTCCCTGGGCCTGAGTGAGGAGTGCTGCGCGTGGACTGAGCGGCGCGGGGACTGAGCGGCGCGGGGACTGAGCGGCGCGGGGATTGAGCTGCGCCCTCCTGAACTATGGCAGGCGTTGTCATTGTATGGACGGAAGTTAAACATTTACCAGGCAGTTCCGTGTGTGGGAAGCACGAGATTGTGAATGAGATATTCTGCCAGGTGAATGTCTGGAATCTGAAAGCTCCCCTCGCGTGTCATCAAATCTCCGCTCACGTAGGGAACGGCGACAAATCTCCAACAATGAAGATGAAGGAAAATGGGATTCTTTGTGAGGAATCACTTGCTGGGCTTTGCTGTGACGGCTCTCCGGCCATCGCTCTGAAATCCATTTATTCTGCACAATGAGCGCATTCTACAAGCCACGCGCGTCATAAAACATCTCTGCGATCCGACACGGCGTCCCGGACTTCCAGGCAGCGCGCGGCGGATTCAATGGAATTACTGTAATTGTCCAATATTTCTCTCTCCGCAGGACAACCATCTCACTCTCATATCTCTGGCGTGCCTCGGGGACACAGATACAGAGATCTCTCTTATGACTTCATCCATCCAAACGGTGACATTGTAATCACCGGCCATTGTGTGCGTCAGAGTGCGCCCGCGGCACCATATACGGACACAATATAACGCGTATACAACAGTATACATAGATTAACTATAACATGGTATATACTGTATATACTGACACACAATAAGGTGTATATACTGTATATACTGACACACTATAAGGTGTATATACTGTATATACTGACACACTATAAGGTGTATATACTGACACACTATAAGGTGTATATACTGTATATACTGACACACTATAAGGTGTATATACTGACACACTATAAGGTGTATATACTGACACACTATAAGGTGTATATACTGACACACTATAAGGTGTATATACTGACACACTATAAGGTGTATATACTGTATATACTGACACACTATAAGGTGTATATACTGACACACAATAAGGTGTATATACTGACACACAATAAGGTGTATATACTGACACACTATAAGGTGTATATACTGATACACTATAAGGTGTATATACTGACACACTAGAAGGTGTATATACTGACACACAATAAGGTGTATATACTGACACACTATAAGGTGTATATACTGACACACAATAAGGTGTATATACTGATACACTATAAGGTGTATATACTGACACACTAGAAGGTGTATATACTGACACACAATAAGGTGTATATACTGACACACAATAAGGTGTATATACTGATACACTATAAGGTGTATATACTGACACACTAGAAGGTGTATATACTGACACACAATAAGGTGTATATACTGACACACTATAAGGTGTATATACTGACACACTATACACATCAGTATAATAGAAGGTATATGTACTGTGTATACACGGTATGTCAGTGTGCACCCACCGGGGGGCTTCTATCAGCTCCTCTCCTACCTCGTATACAGACTTAGAGGATTTGGGCCTTGTGGGGGAAGCGAGTCCCAGGTTTGCATGTACACCTAGAGGCGTGGAAGGGATAAAAGGAGCTCCCGGCCTCAGGTAGAGGGTCTCCCAGGCCGGAGCTTTGGCTTCTTGGATTGGGGCAAGGGAGGTTCTCTTCCCATTGGTGACCTCCTTGATAAAGTTGTCACCCCCCAAAGGACATATCAACGTTTATTGCCCCAACACTTCAGCCAAAGGGTCCTTGGCATGTGTACAGATCGGAGGTCTGCTCTGCATATGAGGCGTACAATATCTGAGGGTCCAATCAGCACAGACGCGGGAGCATATCCTGGAACTGGACCCCCTGATGTCTGCAGATAGACAAGGCAGCAATAAGAGGAAGCGCGCCAAGGCCTACTAAGGAGAATAAGGGCTGCCAGACATTTCTCCACATGATGGACAGTCCCCGCTCTGCAAGGGGTAAGTGCTCCTTCATACCTAGGTGACAGGACCCCGAGCTCCCTCCGGACCGATAGACAGGTCCCTGCAGCCCCTGCTGGTGTCATCAAGTACAATGGACTCCATAGCCCTGCGTTGTATGCGAGGACGTTGAGGGGCCGTCCAAAGCTGGAACAGAGGTGGAGAAGAGGAAAGTGACGACTGACGGGCGATCAAGGATCAGGTAAGTAATAAAGCGAATTCCCGCCCCCTAGCGAATTCCCGCCCCCTGGGCATCAAGAAGCCGTTAACCCTTGCAGTGCCGGGGCGGCCGCCAGAGCTAAACATTGAACTTCTACGGAGTTTAAGGAGAATCATTTCCACCGCCAAATATGCCCGGGTCAGCTTTTCAGATCATATTTTACTGGCCACACATACGGACACCCACATTTCTGGGGGTTCACTCATTGTGTCTCGTAGCCGTACACCTCAGTAGCACAAGATTAACCCCTTCATGCCCAGAGGTCATTGAAGCTTCTATGCCCAAATCAGTATGTTTGGCATCATGCCTCACTGTAATCTTACTATTTGTCTTTAGTGTGGGATGGAGTGTGGAAAGACTACAATTCCCATCATTGGTACTAAATTCCTCTGAGATTGAAGTGCCACACCACAAATGAATGGTCCAGATGTAAATGTATCCCAAGGTAAGATTTAATAGATGACTTTATGAAACAGCCAATGTGTTTCAGCGGCCAGAACTTGCCCCCTTCATCAGGGCTTTAACTCATTTACTGCCACCAACTTATAGGTCACAGCAGAACAGTGCGGCTTGCAGCTGGTCATCTCAGTAGCCATTTCAGTGGCTGCATTCCCTTAAGGTGCCCATACACCGATTCTCGGCTGGTTAGAACGGTGCTCGGAAGACAAATGCCGAACGGGCCGGTGTGCGCACGCGCACACTGCCCGTTCAGCATTGCGGTCATCGGAAGCCCGCCCCTCAGTGGGGCGTGGCTTGCGATGATCGAGAGTGCGATCTGCCTGTCCAAGATGGGCAGATCGTACGTTTTTTTAATCCCTTTACAACCATCGCAAGACTAAGGTCTTGTGATGGTTGTAGAGTGTATGGCCACCTTTAGACTATAAGACTATGTTCCCTTCAACAACTAATACCAGACTCTGCTAATGAACAAATAGCTGTGAACAGCGGCAGACGAGCCACAGATTGCAGCTATTCCTTCATATTGTGAATTCTGTGCGTTGTCTTTGTGTGCACTAATAGTGGTTTGGTGTAATATTATAGAGAATAATGTTTCAATAAACAATCATAAAACTATCAAAGGGATGTCCAAAATCAGCCAGAGCATTCCACAGGTCCTGCGCTTTCAGGAAATGTACGGGTTAGGGCAGGGGTGGCAAACTCAAATTCATCGGGGGCCGCATCAGCAGTATGGTTACCCTCAAAGGGCCGGTTGTATAGGACTTATTATCATAAATAGTTGCCTCTGCATTCCGTTGCTACTGGTTTTAATAATAATTTAAGTAATAACCAGCCTTGAAAGCAGCAGCCTGGGAGGAATAACAGCGAGCGCATATTCAAATGTACAATTTATTAAAACATTTTTTTAGGAACAGTCATTTTTTTTTACATTTGTTTAAACATACAAATATTGCCAGGCACCGTTTATTACACACGAGGCGTTAACTTTCTTTTCTGACTGGATGTCGGACACTTTGCTTCTTTTTTTACGATAAACTTTAAATCAGCAGCACGTTAAGAAGAGGCACCGAACGCAGCCCGCTGGATGGGGCAAAAAAACTGCCCAAAAAACTGCCAGCAATCTCTGCCACTATGAACATTCAGTGGCATGCAAAAAAGCCGGCATCGCTGGCTGGAAGGACTGGGGAGGCGGGGCGGAGGCGGGCACCAGAGCGGCATTGTAAGCCGTCATGGCTGCAGAAAGAGAGGAGGCGGCGGTGGAGGCGGAGACAGGGCGGAGGCGGAGCGGCACAGTAAGGGGAATATGTCATGCCTGCTCAGACTGGCCGCGCCGCTCACTTGCTGGAATCCCAACCTGGCAAAATGAGGTGGCTGCTGTGCGGGCCACATTACAAGGTCCGGCGGGCCTTGTGTTTGCCACCCCCTGGGTTAGGGGATCTTCCACAAACATTCAAAGCTGTAGGTAAAATATAGTAAAACATGAGATAAAAGATCCGACTACAAGAGGTTAATATTGGAGCGCGGAGCCTGGCAGTGAAAGGGTTACATTAGGAAACATTGTGGACTGGAAGATCCTGAGTGATGGTGCGCACAGTGCTCCTCAGCCTACGGCTCCTCCCACATGCTCTATAACAGGCCTTCTTAAACTTTCTCCACTCGTGACCCCT